GCCGTATGGACAGATGGTTAGTTCACAGTAACGGAATCGTTAACTATTTGCTTTCTCCTAATGTTCTGTTTTATTTCAACTTCATGACGTCCAACATTTTCGGCTGGTGGGAACATTTCTCGAGTTTTCTATTTTACGGAAGGAAAACCCCAAATAAAAAGGTAAACATTGAAATCTGTCACGTGGGAAGGACACGATATTTGTTTTAGACGAAGGAACAAACAATCGTTACTTAACAGGACCTAGTCACTTGCCATGCAGTTCCGTCTGACACTGTTTACTCCACGTCTTACATCTGTCATTCCTGATTTATTCCTACCAATATTCATAAGATAATATTAGACAACAGGGAGCCAGTGTGGTGTAGCGGCTAGATGCCCGCCTGCTTAACCGAATGTCGTGGATTTTAATCTGAACAAAGCCGGAATTTTTTTTCTCCAGAAATAACCTTGATCCCTAAGTTGACCCAGCCTTGAGTCAAGGAAAATCCTGTGTAGGAAAGGCGGCCGTCTACCCAGTCTTGAGTCAAGGAAAATCCTGTGTAGGAAAGGCGGCCGTCGACCCAGTCTTGAGTCAAGGAAAATCTTGTGTAGCAAAGGCGGCTGGTGTGATGTTCACCACGTGACCCGCCGAGTGCCGATTGGTCTTTAAAATATAAGTCCAGCCTTATATGCCCGATTCGTCTAAAGGCGTGAGAAAGGGTCTTTCACTTTACTTAATACTCAACAACAGCAACACTGTGTTCATTACAAACGCGAAGAACATTTGTAAGAATCATCCAAACAGCCAATTATTAAATAAAAATTATTAGTTTCACAAGTTAGTGAGTCGACAGATTATCCTTATTGCACATCAAACCATTCAGTCCATAAGTGCTCGGATCCCCTCCTCAGTGAATCATCCAGCGATTAGCGGCGACACCGGCACTGTGGTGGTTTCTTATTCTTCTTTGGCTTCCTGCATACTGCTCTTGTCTGGCTACACCCCTTTTAACATGCTGTCCTTGCAGTCTATTCGCAGTTGCAGATTCAGACATCACTTGGTTCTTGCAAACGTCCTACTTCTTGTAGAGCATTCCGTTTTTCATCCTGGTCCATTGCTCTTCTGCCCTCTACAGTGTAGCTTAACCTGCAAGCCTATCAGCCTGCTTATTTCTCTGCACGCCTGCATCATCATCATCATTTGCCCTGCCAGCTGGCGCAGGCGCTCATGCGTCTCCACAGATCACGATCCCTGGTTGCCTGGAACATCTCTCTTGATGATATCCCTCCATGCCATTGTTTCAGCCCATCCAGCATCACCTCTCTTAGCCGGCCTCTACCCCTTTTCCCACTGATCTTTCTAGTTGTCACGATGTTCTCCAATGTCTGTCTTCTCAATACGTGGCCAAAGAACAGTGTTTGTCTCTGCATGCATGCCCTTACACAAATATAAAACGGATCTTTGTCAGCCCCGACAGCTTTAAAGACTCCAAACACTGCCTTTGGATCCAGCCCATCTCTATCTTCATGTGTATACTCATTGAGTCACTGAGAACGCATGCACGAGAAACGGTCTGTATTTGCAGCCATTTGATTGATTTGTTCACTGCCATGACTTCCAGACTCAGACAACTTGTCAAGGCAACACCACCACAATTGTTTCAGAGAATCATCATCATCATCATAGACTTCAGCCATCAAGTGGCCTGACAAAGAATAACTTCCCATCCAGTGCACGCCAGCTGGCACTGATTATTAACGTGTCTTTAATGTTTTCGATCCATTGGTTTGTGGTCGTCCTCTTGTTCTTGTAGCTGATCTTCTGATATGTAGGGCTTGCGATGGTATTTGATGTTGCTGCATTCTAACGAGATGGTCAAGACACTTGATCTGCTGTTTCTCGATAAATACAGGAGGCAAACTACGAGGCTGCCGTTAGACGTGCGCCTCCAGGCTGGGTATCTATTCATCGATTCTTGGCTTGAGGCAATGGTTTTATAATCATCATCATCATGTTGCTTGCCAGATCGCGTAGCAGTTCCACTTAGATCTTGGCCCTGCATGTCTTGTCTTAAATGGCACCCTCTTAGACCGTTGAACGCCCTCTTAGACCGTTGAACGCCCTCTTAGACCGTTGAGCACCCTCTTAGACTGTTGAGCACCCTCTTAGACCGTTGAGCACCCTCTTAGACCGTTGAGCACCCTCTTAGACCGTTGAGCACCCTCTTAGACTGTTGAGCACCCTCTTAGACCGTTGAGCACCCTCTTAGACCGTTCAGCACCCTCTTAGACCGTTGAGCACCCTCTTAGACCGTTGAGCACCCTCTTAGACCGTTGAGCACCCTCTTAGACCGTTGAGCACCCTCTTAGACCGTTCAGCACCCTCTTAGACTGTTGAGCACCCTCTTAGACCGTTCAGCACCCTCTTAGACCGTTCAGCACCCTCTTAGACCGTTCAGCACCCTCTTAGACCGTTGAGCACCCTCTTAGACCGTTGATCACCCTCTTAGACCGTTCAGCACCCTCTTAGACTGTTGAGCACCCTCTTAGACCCTTCAGCACCCTCTTAGACCGTTCAGCACCCTCTTAGACCTTTGAGCACCCTCTTAGACCGTTGAGCACCCTCTTAGACCCTTCAGCACCCTCTTAGACCGTTCAGCACCCTCTTAGACCGTTGAGCATCCTCTTAGATCCTTCAGCACCCTCTTAGACCGTTGAGCACCCTCTTAGACCGTTGAGCACCCTCTTAGACCTTTGAGCACCCTCTTAGACCGTTGAGCACCCTCTTAGACCCTTCAGCACCCTCTTAGACCGTCCAGCACCCTCTTAGACCGTTGAGCATCCTCTTAGATCCTTCAGCACCCTCTTAGACCGTTGAGCACCCTCTTAGACCGTTGAGCACCCTCTTAGACCGTTGAGCACCCTCTTAGACTGTTGAGCTCCCTCTTACACCCTTCAGCACCCACTTAGACCCTTCAGCACCCTCTTAGACCGTTGAGCACCCTCTTAGACCCTTCAGCACCCTCTTAGACCGTTGAGCACCCTCTTAGACCCTTCAGCACCCTCTTAGACCGTTCAGCACCCTCTTAGACCGTTCAGCACCCTCTTAGACCGTTGAGCATCCTCTTAGATCCTTCAGCACCCTCTTAGACCGTTGAGCACCCTCTTAGACCGTTGAGCACCCTCTTAGACCGTTGAGCACCCTCTTAGACTGTTGAGCTCCCTCTTAGACCCTTCAGCACCCTCTTAGACCCTTCAGCACCCTCTTAGACCGTTGAGCACCCTCTTAGACCCTTCAGCACCCTCTTAGACCGTTGAGCACCCTCTTAGACCCTTCAGCACCCTCTTAGACCGTTGAGCACCCTCTTAGACCCTTCAGCACCCTCTTAGACCGTTCAGCACCCTCTTAGACCGTTCAGCACCCTCTTAGACCCTTCAGCACCCTCTTAGACCCTTCAGCACCCTCTTAGACCGTTGAGCACCCTCTTAGACCCTTCAGCACCCTCTTAGACCGTTGAGCATCCTCTTAGATCCTTCAGCACCCTCTTAGACTGTTGAGCACCCTCTTAGACCCTTCAGCACCCTCTTAGACCGTTGAGCACCCTCTTAGACTGTTGAGCTCCCTCTTAGACCCTTCAGCACCCTCTTAGACCGTTGAGCACCCTCTTAGACTGTTGAGCTCCCTCTTAGACCGTTGAGCACCCTCTTAGACCGTTAAGCTTCCTTTAGCTCTACGTGACCTTGCCTTTCCTATCCTCGTGATAAGCTCCGGTGCCTCTCTTCTCGTTAAAGGGCTAAAGAGCACGGTTCCCATCACACCGAGGGCATGACATTACGCTGTCCGCCTAGTTTTTTTTTTATTTACGAAATGTGCTGATGAAGGCTTTGTTGCTGCAGCGTTCACTTTTCGTTTGTGTTTGTTACATTGTGAAGCTCACTGGTCTACGTATCGTTTGATGTTTGTTAGTTACATTGTGAAGCTCACTGGTCTACGTATCGTTTGATGTTAAGCTTTTTCTTTGTAATCGTTATTTACTCTGGTATACCAAATTGTTCACAACATATATGCAAGTTTGATGGTGTAGGAAACACAGAGATATGTCCACGCAACTTGGCACCTGAAAATTCTGAGCGTTGACTCCAACACTATAAACTGTATCTAGCTAACGGATAAACAGTCTGACCTGTTACCACCTCTATAAAGACAGAGTTGTGTGTTCGACTAGGAGATGTTGTCTGCATTATAGCTTCCATCACAGTTACCGGTCTCCATCTACACATTTAATGACAGAAGGATCGAAGAAGAAGAAGACAACATTCGACTCAAAAACATCTCCCTGCTCTAAGTTCTTCCTACCTATTTCATTTTGACCAAAGTTCTTTTCAACAACAAAAACATCTTCCTTGGTCTAAGTTCTTCCTACAATTTTCGTTTTGACCAAAGTTCTTTTCAATAACAAAAACATTCTTCACAACGAAAACCAAAGGCAACATTGCTCACCGGTAGACATCAATATCACAACCCACACAGACTGTTCTGTGCGTCATATCCAAATAAATATTATGCAGAAAATAAATTTAAAAAAAACGACATGTCGATGTGATACGAGCTTTGCTTGTTTTTTATAATATCTTTATTGTTTCCTTTAATGGTCTTTTTCAGGTTACTGTTTGCAGATTCTGGTTTTATAATTTAAAAAAAAAAATGTATGGCCCCGGGGGAGGGGGGGGGGGGGGGGGTTAGAGGGGCGGTGCTTATTTTTGATTTTTTGCAGATTATTATTCTTTGAAAAAGAATGTGGTCGAAACGTTGGTCAATAAGCTTCTTTATTATATGAAACTTTGAGTCGTTTTTCGTTTCCGTTCGATAACAATCATTCTTGATTCTGAAATATCAACAGATTGAACGTGAGGTGACAGTGGAAGACTTGTGTTGAAAGGTGAATGTATAATTTGACAGGAACATAGGTGAAATTTTAACAGGTAGGGTGGTTTGATGTTTGATTGTTGTTCTTGCAGGCTACCTGGGGCCCAAGTCCGCCACCGATGACGGTCTGGAGAGGACCTTCGCCGTCAACTACCTGGGTCACTTTTACCTGACTCACCTCCTCACCGAAAAGGTAACTTGCTAGATTACTACCGGGAATACAGTACTGTGTATGGCATACACATCTTGACTACTGGATGTATGAACTGACATCACAACACTCCGGGCAGAGCCATAGATATTCTGTCTCCAAATGTATCAACTCTTACTACCAAGCAGTTGCCCTTACGTTCATTGCTCGTTGCTGTCATATATCACAGACAGGTGTTATGGTAACCTCTTGAGTGGGGATTATTATAGACAAGTGATGAGAATACAATAGACATATAAAAAGAATGATGTTAAATTACACTCCCATAAGCGATCCGACCCCATCTTCAGCAGCAAGCGAAGAGTTCTAGTTCCGATGGTACTAGTAACTGTGTGACTGTATATTCGTCTCGCCTTTTCCTTTAGTGATAAGTGTCAACCAGTTCCCCTGGTAACTCCTCGCAGCACCATTCTCCTCAGACCGTAATGATCTATCTGCGCCTCCACACTGCTCCCAAAGAGCCCTCACAACATGTAACTTATCATACATCAGATCACCACCAAGTAGTGCAGAACCGGACAATATAACTGCCTGCTCGTTTCCCTACATACCAGCATAAACTGGAATAAATATCCAAAGGACGCTAACTACTCTGGACCTCTGGAGCGATGCTTGCTACTCTGCAAGAAACATGCCTGTCACCACATTTCTCAGCATACTCTGTGAGTCAGTTACAATCCTGGCATGTGTGTACAGCTGATTGTGAATCCAGTAATGAAGCTCTTGAGAGAAACTGACTGACGATAAGAACTGATCGCCCGCATCAAGGGGAGATAATCTAAATTCATCGGTCATGTCATGAGAAGGAGACAACTAAAGTACGCTGTGACGGTGGAAAAGTTGGAGGGGAGGAGAGGCAGAGGAAGACCGAGAGAGAAGATGCTGAACAGTTTAGTTTCATGGCGTGGAGGATCCTCCATGTTAGAACTAAGTGAGAGTACACGAGACAGAAGGTTGTGAATGTAATTGTCTACCAGTGCCACACGGCATGCACTATACGAAGACGATCTGCATTGTTAATTTATTATAACTTGTATTATTATTCAACACTTAACCAATGCTTATTTACAATTAAAATGTTCCCCTAGAACATGTGAAAGTAACTTCCGTCTACCCCCCACCCTCCCAACCCCTCATACATATTTTATCAGCTAATCGTTTACTAACTTATCGGTTTTTAATGCTTTTCCTATCAGCTAATCGTTTACTAACTTATAAGTTTTTAATGCTTTTCCTATCAGCTAATCGTTTACTAACTTATAAGTTTTTAATGCTTTTCCTATCAGCTAATCGTTTACTAACTTATCGGTTTTTAATGCTTTTCCTATCAGCTAATCGTTTACTAACTTATAAGTTTTTAATGCTTTTCCTATCAGCTAATCGTTTACTAACTTATCGGTTTTTAATGCTTTTCCTATCAGCTAATCGTTTACTAACTTATAGGTTTTTAATGCTTTTCCTAGCAGCTAATCGTTTACTAACTTATCGGTTTTTAATGCTTTTCCTATCAGCTAATCGTTTACTTACTTATCGGTTTTTAATGCTTTTCCTATCAGCTAATCGTTTACTAACTTATCGGTTTTTAATGCTTTCCCTATCAGCTAATCGTTTACTAACTTATCGGTTTTTAATGCTTTTCCTATCAGCTAATCGTTTACTTACACATATGTTTTTAATGCTTTTCCTATCAACTAATCGTTTACTAACTTATAGGTTTTTAATGCTTTTCCTATCAACTAATCGTTTACTAACTTATAGGTTTTTAATGCTTTTCCTATCAACTAATCGTTTACTAACTTATAGGTTTTTAATGCTTTTCCTATCAACTAATCGTTTACTAACTTATAGGTTTTTAATGCTTTCCCTATCAACTAATCGTTTACTAACTTATAGGTTTTTAATGCTTTTCCTATCAGCTAATCGTTTACTAACTTATAGGTTTTTAATGCTTCTCCTCTAAACTAATCGGTTTTTAGCATATCGTTTTTGATGATTTTCCTACAAACAAATGGTCTACTAACATCTTATTGTTGTTTCTCCTACCTCCTAATCAGTTACTAACATGCCTTGTTGCTTGTCATATGGTCCTTTAGTTTTAATTCACCAAAATAAAGAATATCCTGGAGTTCCAGAGACATCAAGTGACAGGAAGGTTTTTACTTATGCAGTATATTTCAAGTTTTTTTTTTTTTTTACTATTTGTTTATATAACTTGTGCGTTGATGTTAGGTGAGAAATACTATGCAAGTTGGGGAAAAACAGTGCACTTTAACACTAACCCTAACTTTAACCCATGATGCTGCAGAAACCAGATTTAGGTCAGTGCTAATTTTAGCACAGCTAAGCTAAGATTGAAACAGCTCTCTGTTGCCTGCGCCACCAACACTATCATCCTACTCCACAGATGATCAAGAACGCTCCAGCCCGCATCATCAACGTTGTCTCGGACGCCTACGCCAAGGGCAGCATCGACTTCGATGACCTGGCTTTGAACAAAGGCTACGATATCTCCAAGGCCTATGCCAGGTCTAAGTTCGCCCAGGTGGTCTTCAACCTGGAATGTCATCGGAGGCTTTTTGGTGCCTGTGTGTGGTCGTTCGCTGTCAACCCAGGTCAGTCTGGCTTCCTTCTATTGCTGGCATGCCGGTTAGGGCTCGTCCCTTGCAGAAACATTGGTCGCGGTTCAATCCCCAGCCGAGGCAGGCTAATATTCTGCAAACAGTACGGCTCTAGTAGTCTATGTGGCAGAGTCTGCCAATCCCCCCCCCCCCCCTAGAACTTGAGCCCTAGCAGAGGCTGTTTTCAAGACCAGCGGCACAGATGGCATAGTACCTCGGGGGGGGGGGGGCAGATCGGCGTGCTGTCTAATTGAATGGGGGGGGGGGGGGGATTTGCTATGTTCTCAGACTACAATTAACTTAATGTATTTTATATTCAGCTCCTCTCTCTCTCTCTCTCTCTCTCTCTCTCTCTCTCTTTCTTTCTTTCCCTGTCTATCTTTCTCTCTGTCTTTATCTCTCAGTCTCTCTCTCTTTCTCTCTCTCTCTCTCTCTCTCTCTCTCTCTCTCTCTCTCTCTCTCTTCCTCTCTCTTTCTCTTTCTTCCACGCGCTCTCTCTTACTCTCTCTTTGCGCTCTCTCTTTCTCTCGCTTCCTCTCTCTCTCTCTCTTCCTCTCTTTCTCTTCCTCTCTCTCTTCCTCTCTCTCTTCCTCTCTCTCTTTCCCTCTCTCTCTCCATATTCTCCCTCTCTGAATGTACGTGACGATATGTGACTAGATGCAAACATAACCATAGTTGTCGCTGTGCTACAGGAGCATGCAACACAGATCTGCTGAGATACTATCCCGGACTGACGGGCAACATCCTGCGTGTCATCTCCAGGATCATGTACAAGCCGCCGGAAGATGGCGCTGAGACCATCGTTTACTGCGCCGTCGCTGACGGACTCCGGGAACATTCTGGTAAGGGACAGCGGGACGTTGGGGCAGAAATGACCGAACAGCCATTAGTTTATTAGCTTACAGTTTCAGAGATCCAGTTTTAATTAAAATTCAACAGCTGCAGGGCTGTGGAAAATGTGGGAGTCACGGTGTTGAAGAGACTAGACGTTCGCCTCCGGTCCAAAGCTCGACCAGCCTAAAATGAGCGGAAACAAAAGCCCTGGGAAGTAAAGACGTACACCTCATCCCCTAGCGACTGCCCTCGTTTTCAAAGACACAAGTCTAGCATCATATACCCGACTCCCCGTGTGGGTTCCGGTGCCATTATGGGGAGAACAAGAATAGAACCACCTACTCCGCAAAAAGCATGTCGTAAGAGTCGACTATTTGGGAGCGGGGGTGGTCCTGTAGTCGGAGTACATTTGCCTAAGGGGCAAGGAACAAACAGTCTACATACAAATAAGTCAGATCTATAAAACGGATGTGCAGGCAACACTCAGGTTCTGGAACAGACTAAAGTCCAGAGGTGGAGGGACAACCAAAACTTTCCGCCGGAGTTTACGGCCGGTGAGGGCAAAGAAGAAGAGGAAGAAGACATGCCTGATGCGCCATTAGCTTAAAAAGGGTCTTTGACTTACTTTACTTTATTTACTGGATAATTTGTTTCTGTTTGCTACTCCCCGATTTAAGTTAGAAACTCTAGGTTGTTAGCATCTACACCTTAGGACATTTGCTGCAGGAGACGGAGCACCCGTGTGTGTGCCCGGTGTGCTATGATAACGATTCTTTCATCAGTAAAATCAGTAACTCCGAGTTGTGGAACTTTTTATTCCAGTTTTAAAACTTCTCTTATATATCTCAGCTGCCACTCTAACTGAAATGTTTGAGTTGAGTATAGTTACGGATATACAGTCAGACAGTTTCATGTTTGAGTTGAGTATAGTTACGGATATACAGTCAGACAGTTTCATGTTTGAGTTGAGTATAGTTACGGATATACAGTCAGACAGTTTCTGTGCCATCGGAATTGGAACTCTTGGTTTGCTGCTGCAGATTGAGACATGGCGTTTATGGGAGCTCTGTGATGTCGACTCTTAATTCAGGATTCAACATTTAGATGAGTGTCGCTAGGTTACATTGAGAACTGACATCGTAGCAGTCAAGACATTCCCATATTGTCTCCGTCCCTATCTTCAGCAGCCAGTTTCAATTCCCATGTTACCAGTAGCAGTTGCCTCTCACCCTGATTGTTGAGCGTCTGCCGGATGCCCTGGTCACTCCACGGTCCACCACTCTCTTCAGACCGTGACGATCTATTTGTGTTTGCACACTCTTCACACCCTTGCAAAGTGCCTTGATACAGTCAATCAGCATATTCTGTACGATACGTCGCTCTCTTTCTCTAGTCAATTCTCCAGCCCTGTGTGCTTTCATAACCAATGCATGTTCAATAGCCTGTATTCACTTTCAGGGAGTTCGTCTCAGCCATGTTCTCCGGAAACTGTGCCATCCATCACAATTCTCTCCAGAGCACCGAGGCTACGATGATAAAATCTAGCTTGTCATCATTAAATTAGTTGTGAGGAAGCCATGTTTCCATCAGAAAATTGACAAATGTTCAAAATTGTCCCACCTCCATAGGTAAACTCTTCGCCAACTGCAAGGTGGTAAAGATAAACGAGAAGGTCAAGGACAAGACCGTGGCCCGGAAACTGTGGTGTGTTAGCGCCCAGTTGTGCGGCTTCGAGAGTGATGTGCCCTTGGAGGAGGAAGAGGAAGTGAAACCACAAGCCGCTGGAGAGCAGCAAGCGGAAGTCAAGACACCCTAGACAAGGATTCTGTCTGTGAGACAAAACGTTGACACCATAACAAATTGTTTGCTTCAGACAGCAAAAGGGCATTGTATCATTATGTTTCTACTATTTCTTGTATTTAGCTGAAGATTTAACGGTCAGGTTGTTGCTCTCTGCAAGTTTAAACCGATGTGTTGCATGCTTTACAGATGATACGTAGAGTAGTTGTTTGAACCGAATGTCCAAAAGAAACCTTTGAACGAGCGTTTATGGAGTCACCACGGAAGTTTAACTGGACGTCGTCCTTGACATGGAAAGGCATACACGGGATAGAGTAATAGACTTCGAGCTATATTTAACTGGGGTGACGATAATATCTTCAGCTGCAAACGGACATCCAACAATCTTGATCTGAAAACAAGATGAAACATCCCATTTTCTCGCTCGAAAGCAGGATATCCCAAGCAAGTCACTTTAACAAGCCATTTTCTAGTTGGGAGGAGCTAACTACTAGCGTAACTATGTTATGAAAACCTGAATTATTGTCGCCAAGAATAAAACGAAACAATCTGCTCTTTAACTGTACTGGGTCGGGGGGGGGGGGGGATGCTACAGTAAAAAATCCTATCAAAACATTTAAGACATTAGGAGTGATTAAAACTTAGAAATCGATTAAAGTCTACATATAACTATGCGTGTTTTATTTCTAGCTAATTCATACATTTTTACTAAATGGAACAATTGTTTTTTAATACCAATGGGAGACCCAGGGCACGCCCCAAAACGGGACAACACCTGTGAAAACGGGACCTATGGTGGCCCTAAATGTGGCATAGAATGACACAACGGTGTGTTGATGATAGAGGTTTGGCAAATTATTGCGTGCATGCATATAAACAGAACCGCGATTACAAAGTGCCTAGTTCACTGTCTCTCAGGGCGAAGTACCCGTTCAACCCTCGACATAGGTTTCCTTCTTTTGTAGCTCTGGGCTCGATATAACTATATAACCAATAAATCGCCTAAACTACGCCCTTAAGTCCAGAGCGTATCTGGATACACAGTCCATGCTTATTTGCTGCAATATAATCTCACATGGCATTTAATGACATCGCTTCTGTCCGATACCGGGTCAGTCGTAATAACCGCAGTCTGCTAATTAATATGCACTCTTTTTGCTTCTAACACACGCAAGAACTGATACAAAGATAGCAGTTAAATGTGTCATTCAAGAGTAGTCTCCCTTGGTTTGCTTCAGGGTTGTCCATTGCCTCCAGCCCTTTGCAAGAATGATCTTCCCTCGTGGGTTCCTGACGGACTTACCGCGTCCCAATGTCGGACCATGACCGCTTTATTACAGATAGCCTTGGTCGGACGCAATTTTGTGTTGCTTTAAAACCACATCTAGCTGTTGCCGGGGGCCCTAAAATAACCCAGCCTATGGTTTGAATAGGATTTCTAGGACCTGTCCTCATCCGAATGCTGGCACTTTGTGTCACCGGGTGTTAATGACTCAGCTTGATCTCCTGCTGGGGTTGAACGTCACTCACTCGTATATATACATATATATCTTGTGAAAGGCAATTTTTCGTTATTTGAAGCCCTACTCTGGCTCTCGCCAGGGGCCACAAAATAGCCCGGCCTTAAATATGGTTTAATGGTTGAACGCCGTTTCTGGGACCTCTCCACGGGTGATCCTCATCTGCATGGTGGCACTTTGTGTCATCGGGTGTTTATCGCTTGTGTGATGTCCTGGTGGGGTAAAAGAAGATAGATAGACCGACTCACGGGCTCCTGCATCTCACTTTGGAAACAGAAAATAAACAGCTTGCTCTTTAACAATCTTGTCGTAAACGATGTTTAATTAGTTCTAAAACTGAAAAGGTGCAAATATCGCAGCCTTGCTATAAACCACAACTAGACGTGCCTACAGTTTTTTTGAGAGCGACTGCCAAAAGATAAGAAGACATTGTCCGTGCATATATCAGTAAAAGAATGGGTTCTGTTTTTCACATGTAATGTCCTACATTTGCTTGTCATTTGTTAATCACATTAATCGTGCATTATTTGTAGCTAGTGGGTTCAATTGTTCTTTAGTTGCAAATTACTACAGATGTCATCTTGTAGTTGTTTCCGGTGTGGAGTTGTTGTAGATAACAGCGAATGATTGAACTGTGGTAGGTGCCTTGCTGTGTGATCACATGTTACTCTAGCGAATTAACTAGTGACTTTTTAGTAAAACTACAGCTTTTGTTTGAGTTCATTTATTATAAATGTATGAGTGCGCGTGTGTGTGTGTGTGTGTTTGTGTGTGTGTTTGTGTGTGTGTTGAAGAGAAGCCAGGGGCCGATCTAACAGATTGGATGACCTGGGTTCAAATCTCCAGCGGGTTTATGGGTTGATGGGTTGGTGTGCTGGTTGTGAACCCTCTTGGAGTCTGAGGTTGAACTCTGATCTCCAAGTCGTGTCTCGTCTGAGGTTGAACTCTGCTCACAGAGTCTCGTCTTAGGTTTAACTTTGATCACAGAGTCTCGTGTCGTCTGAGGTTTAACTCTGCTCACAGAGTCTCATATCGTCTGAGGTTTAACTCTGCTCACAGAGTCTCATATCGTCTGAGGTTTAACTCTGATCACAGAGTCTCGTGTCGTCTGAGGTTTAACTCTGCTCACCGATCTTGTGTCGGCTGAGCCCAAACAGATATTGCATTTGTCGCGATACAATTTCTCTAGACATCCGGTTCCCCTCCCCCTCCCTTTAACAAACAACCTTCTGTACCTAAGCGTCCTTCCCGCGGTGACTGTGTTACAGAGCGCTCTCCTGTCCTCTAACATTTCAGTAATCAGAAGGATTTACGCTATCGGCACTGACGCTAAAGAAGAAGAGATAAAGAGACCTGGGAGAAGCAGAAGAAACAAGAAGTACGTGGATTCGGTGGTTGTGGGGTAGTTTGACGAGAGGGGGATAACAGGGGGGAGGATAAGATGCAAAATAAATGAGCCTTTAAAAAAGGAGAATGTGGTTGTGACAAGTGGCGGTGAAAGATGCGGTGTTAGTGGTGGTGACAGATGTGGTGTTAGTGGTGGTGACAGATGTGGTGTTAGTGGTTGTGACAGATGTGGTGGTAGTGGTGGTGACAGATGCGGTGTTAGTGGTGGTGATAGATGTGGTGTTAGTGGTGGTGACAGATGTGGTGTTAGTGGTGGTGACAGATGTGGTGTTAGTGGTGGTGACAGATGTGGTGGTAGTTGTGGCAATAGTAGTGATAATGGTAGTGATAGTGGTCATCATTGAAAAGGAAAGGAGCAGGGAGACGTAAGAAAAAGAAGTGTCTAGCTCTTACAATACGCAATTTCAGTTCCAATGTTGGCATCCTTGTCTTTTCGAACGGGACCCGTTAATACAAAGTCGATAGCTGTAAGTCAGTTAACATCCTACTGGGTCAACAAAGATGCAGGAGCAACCAAGCCGTTTTAGCTACAGAATTGTCTACAGAGAGGGGAGGTAAGACCGGTACACCCGCCAAGGGGCATCACTCCTCATCTGTGCGGGAAACTAGCTTTTAAAAACAGATTAAGGACGTTAAATCTCTATTTTAATCTGTTTTTCTTCCTGTCCTGAATGGATTTTCTGCTGCACGTAATTAGTTTACCAAAGCACAAAGGATTCTCAACCAGTTTAGAAGAGGGGGGGGGGGGGGTCTGTCGATTACACAGAGCAGAGAAGATAGTGGTCGCCACTACTGTAATCAAACAGTGAGAGAGTATTACACATAATTTTGTTATTCCTAGAGGGAGGCATTTGTGGGATATTTGAAGCCTTGCTCTGGCTCTTGTCAGGGGCCTCAAATAGCCCGACCATAATATGATCTAATCTAAAGCGGTTTCTCGGACCTCTCCACGGGTGATTCTCATCGGACATCCACATGGTGGCACTTTGTGTCATCGTATGTTTATCGCTTGTGTGATGTCCTGGTGGGGTAAAAGAAGATATATAGATAGAGAGAGTACTGATGATCATCATGTGTCTTGCCGACTGGCGTGAGACATCAGGCTTCCACACAGCCTGCCTTCTCCTGCAGTGTTGATCAGCACGTGTTCTTTTCACGAATGTCAGCCAATGAACTTAGTATGTTGTTTTCCTTTATCCACGCTGCCCTATTTTCTCTCTCTCTCTCTCTCTCTCTCTCTCTCTCTCTCTCTCTCTCTCTCTCTCTCTCTCTCTCTCTCTCTCTCTCTCTCTCTCTCTATCTATCTATCTATCTATCTATCTATCTATATATATATATATACATAATATCTCTCTCGCTCTCTCTGTGTGTGTGTGTGTGTGTGTCAGTGTGTGAGCACAAATGTATATGTGTCTGCTGTGTGTTTCCTTGTGTGTGTTTATATGTAAGTGTCTGTGTGTGTCTGTATATTTGTCTAAGTGAGTGTGTGTGTCTCTGTGGGTGTGTTTGTCTGTGGGATTGTCCGTGTGTGTATGTGTGAGTGTCTCCATGCATGACTGTATGTATGCCTGTATTTATGACTGTATGTTTGTATGTATATATGTATGTATGTATGTGTGTATGCCTGTATTATGTGTGTATGTATGTATGTATGTATGTATGTATGTATGTATGTATGTGTGTATGTATGTATGTATGTATGTATGTATGTATGTATGTATGTATGTATGTATGTATGTATGTATGTATGTATGTATGTATGTATGTATGTATGTATGTCTGTATGTCTGTCTGTCTGTCTGTCTGTCTGTCTGTCTGTCTGTCTGTCTGTCTGTCTGTCTGTCTGTCTGTCTGTCTGTCTGTCTGTCTGTGTGTCTGTCTGTCTGTCTGTCTGTCTGTCTGTCTGTCTGTCTGTCTGTCTGTCTGTCTGTCTGTCTGTCTGTCTGTCTGTCTGTCTGTCTGTCTGTCTGTCTGCCTGTCTGTCTGTCTGTCTGTATGTATGTATGTATGTATGTATGTATGTATGTATGTATGTATGTATGTATGTATGTATGTATGTATGTATGTATGTATGTATGTATGTATGTAT